GTAGTAGTAGTAGTAGTAGTAGTAGTAGTAGTAGTAGTAGTAGTAGTACTAGTAGTAGTAGTAGTAGTAGTAGTACTAGTAGTAGTTGTTGTGGTTGTAGTTGAAGTAGTTGAAGTAGTGGTAGTGGTAATGGTAGTGATGGTGGAAGTAGAAAGAACATGCTCACAAATTATGGCAAGTCTGCACACACAGCCAGTTTTTCGAAGCGTCACGATTTTTGAGCGCGGAGACGCTAGGCTTTCAGCATCCCCGAGCTCCCTACGCTCCCTATGTCAGGCACTTTGACTCCTGAGAGTCAAGCCTCCTAAGTTGATCTGAGTGATCTATGGTCAAAGATTTGGTCGACTTTGTTCTAGTTTAGTATATTATATATATATATTATATTGTATTGGAAATTATTGGATCAACCCTTCAAACAGCCAGGGCAAACCCATCCAATCTCAGTGCTTGAGCTTCTCAACTTCGAGCAACTTGCCAAGCTTTTACACTATCGCGGCTGGACCAGGAAGCTTCTGTCCGTGGCCAGCACTCATCCTGAGCGTTGACGTGGCGGACCAAAGAACAAGGGAGTCGCTACATGTGCTCTAATGATCAAGAATGAGAACACTATACAGAGAAAAGAAAACGTCAAAAACAATAAAGTATAGTAAAGTTGAAACACGCTACATTGAAACACAAAAAACCATCTGTCAAGCAAACGTAAGAAAACGCACTTGCTGCCTAGCTGCCACTGCTGCGCAGCAGTGCGCTCATGTCAACGGCACCTCAATCCGAGCCATGTAGCGCACCTCGCCATGGAGTGACAAAGTGAAGAATCGAAGCGGTCCAGGCGTTCGAAAACAATGGAAGAAACTCCAAGGAAACGGATTTAGTAGGAGCAAAGGGCATCGCTACTAGGAGCGAGGACGCTACTAGGGGCTCCAAAGCCCAAAACAAAATGAGAACATGAAGGTCTGAGGAAAAGGTCTTGAAGCAAAGCAGCATATTATGTTTAAGACCGTTAAGGTTCTTTGTAGTAAGGATTCGTTAAGACCTGAGACCTAAGGCACTGTTGAAATCATCTCCGCTGATCTACACAGAAGCCTTCTTTTCCAGGCGCAACACGGCGCAAAGGGAAAAGGAATATGGTCTCCAACTTTAAAAGCCATGACCTCCACCCTAGTAGCGATGGCCTCCAACCTACTAGCGTCCTTGCTCCTAGTAGCGATGCCAGGAGCCCCTAGTAGCTTCTTGTTCCTAGTAGTAAGGCCAGGAGCCCCTAGTAGCGTCCTTGCTCCTAGTAGTGATGCCAGAGGCCCCTAGTAGCT